GCACACTGATATTTTTTAAAAAGATAAATTGATGTGAAGGTGCAAAATAGTCTTTAATGATAAACCTCATATATGTATTAGATATTAGGATTAATACCACGAAAAACCCTAAACTGATACATCTGTGATAATTTTACCCCAAATTAATTTTTTGACCACAAAAAATCACAAGCTGATACATTTGTGATAAATTTACTCTCAATTTATTTCCATTAAATTTTACTGTCAAATTTCTTTGTTAAATGACACGCGATAATTAACTGATGTACCAGTTTTATGTTTTATCCTCCATTTGTCACAGGTGTATCAGTTTTGTAATTTTTTGTGGTATTAATTCAATTTAACGGAAATTAACGGAGGGTAAATTTGTCACAAATATACCAGTTTAGGGTTTTTAGTGATTAAAATATTAGTTTGGAGTAAATTTATCACATGTGTATCGGTTTGGGGTTTTTTGTGGTAAAAAAAATAGTTTGGGATAAAATTATCATAGGTGTACCAGTTTAGGGTTTTTCGTGATATTAACCCTATATATTATTAAATATAGCGATGTATAAATGATGGTTGAGTTAACAATGAGGTATGAATTTTATATTTTCTTTTCTCTTTACCCAAACTAGCTCCGAAAACTTTTTCCCCCTTTCTTTTGCTCATTTGACTTTTTGGACGTATGTTATAGGAGTTTTTTTTTTTCCTTTTTTTCTTGTTAACATTCTTCCTTGTTGAAAAATATCTAGTTAGGCGAGTCGTATATGGATCAACTAAATTTTCAAGAAATGGGTTGCATGGATTTAGTATAGCATAGCCCAATCGAATATGAGTTCTTAATAATGGGTTTGAAGTATAACTCACTTGTGACTCACCAAACTACACATTGCATTTCGACCGAAAAAAACTATACCTTGCATGGACCCGAGGTTGCACGGTTGAGTTTTCATGTTTGATTTGTTTGCCAAAGCACCAAGTTGGCCCAGTCACGAGCAACCCTCGTGCAACTTGGAGTTAAGCATTTGATCTCATCTTTCATTGTTATAGAAAATCATATTCTCAGCATGTTTTTAAAAGATTTCATCTGAATCCTCGAAATGTAAAGCACGGAGAGGTATTTCCTTATCCCAAGGAAGACATATATATATGGGGGAATAGGGCTTCGGCAGGTTCGACTCCCAGGACACTAAAATGAGGCGTGTAGCTCTAGAAGATACTGAATTTATCTTTTGCAATTCTCAATTGTTCATTAAACTTAATTTTTCTACGATCTTAATTAAATCGTATGGTAATGAATCTAAAACTTTACCTAAATGATAAAATGAGCCCAGTTTTATTCTGATCAAGAAAACAAGCAAAAAGTAGAAGAGGTCAATATGATTATTGATCTTTCTTTAAAATTAATGTTTGTATGTCTATCGAGCATATTGTTTTCTATTATCTATAAAAAAAAATTATTTTCTATTAACAGAGGCTATTTAAATGTAAGTTCTAATCCAAGGAGATAATCTTATTAATTAAATTAAATAACTCCATTAAATTATTTAATGACGTTATAAATTTGTATTTCATTTTAAAGCAGAAGAGGCTGTTTTCAAATAGTGGTCGATCGATTGCGTATTAATCAATATTCAATGGACTGATCTAAGGTATTGCTTAGCTAATGAAGGATCGTCGTGTTCCAGTCAACGTTGTACTCTTGATAAACTCGTTATTATTGATTATCCATCGTTTTATGAATGCGAATGTCATTCTAAAATATTCCCATTGAATTCAAGTAATTTACTATTGAAGATCATAAGCCCTCGCCCCTGGCCCCACTCCCCAATGAATGGTTTGTTAGAATTCACGGAAATTCAAAACGATTCGTTCGGCAAAAGAGATCACTGGCCACTCTGGAATGTAAATAGAAACATTAGGAAACTAATCATTCGATAGACTAGAATTCAAATAGAATATTAAGACATTTCCATCGGAGGATTCATTAGGGGCAGCAAGAAATTCATTGCGAATTGATATAGATGGATAAACTACCGCAAAGAGAAAATCCAACCGATTTGATTCGGAGAAGACGGTACACGGTACCAGCTTCTCGAGGGATGAAGTAAACTCTCTTTAATTCTTTATACGGTATTCTTACTCGGGAGACGGTCTTGTTTGTACTTATTAAGCCACGGCGATCGTTTGATCTTCTGGTTTAAAAGCTAAACGATGAAATGAGGATCGAATTTTCGTGACTATCGTCGTGAAGGACCGGAAACGGGCAATCAAATTCGAACTCTTTTCTCTAAAAGGTTAGGTATCGAATCGTGGCCGTCGATCTTTGATAAAATGCTTTGGCCAACAAATCTGACTTCCTCTATTTATCATCATGCCTATGATGAAGAGTTTCTCATCTAACATGTTCCTTTAAGGGGAAAAAATGAATGAAAAAAACAAAAAAAAAGGGTTTAAAACACGAGATGGGCGCCACGTGTCGCCTTGGACGTCGCCACTAGAGAATAAGAATAATATATATTAAATAGTTAGAAACAACACAAGGAGGATCCGTGGCGCAATGGTAGCGCGTCTGACTCCAGATCAGAAGGTTGCGTGTTCGATTCACGTCGGGTTCAAATCCCTCTCCTCCGGATCTCGTTTTTACTTTTATTTATTTATCCCTTTTTATTTGGCAGCTTAACACGGGCAGATGTGTTTCTTTATTGTGATATCGACACAAACAGTCCCTGAATTTTGGTCAAATGTGTAATTTAGTCCATGAACTTTTAATTTGTTTAATGTCATCCCTGAACTTTTGGTACATATTCAATTCAGTCTCTGAACCATGTTCGATGTTCAATGCAGTCCTTGAACTTGAATTAATGGAAGTGATTGCATTGAATATTTTCATATAATTCTAATGGAAATGACTGTATTAAATATTTTCATATAGTTCAGGGACTGAATTGAACATGTACCAAAAGTTCAAAGATGACATTGAACAAATTAATTAAGGATCACATTGTACATTGGGTTAAAGTTCATGGACTACATTGAACAAATTAAAAGTTTAGGAACTAAATTGCATATTTGGCCAAAGTTTAGGGATTATTTTTGTCATTTCCCTTTCTTTATTTATATAATTGAGTTTTCCACCCGTTTCTCCTGAGCCTTTCTTTTATTTATTTATTTTTATTCCCAATGTGCTTTTATCAACTTACTAATGTCTAATGTTGCGCTTGATCCGAATCTCCTTTTATTTCACTTTATCCCTTTTTATTTTAGCAGCTTATCGCGATCTACATTTCTTTATTATAAGAGTATTGAATGAAAGCTAGCATTGGTAAAGATAAAGACTGTGGATTTACCTTGAGTTTTCAGCATTTTCAAAAAATACTTCCAAGCAGATTAATCGTCTTTTTTTTTTCCAATTTATCCTCACCGACATTTTCAAATTCCTATTTTGCTCTCATTTTTATTATTCATCATTTCTCTCAGTACTCTTTGTTCCAAATTCCGATCGACAAGAGCTCAGAGTCAATAGTCGTCGAGAAACAACCGTCGAGAGACGAGTGCCACAAAAGGTCAACGGTGGTAGAAATCTGGGTGAAGCTAAAAGCTTTACTTACCTTGGGCTTTCAGCATTTTCAGAAAACAATTTTTAGGGTTAATAACTTTTTTTTTTCAATTTTGCCCTCACTGACATTTTCGAATTCCTATTTTGCCCTTATTTGTCGCTTCGAATTCCGATCATGTGGGCCTATGTCAACGGGTTGTCGGGGGGCCATTCCCTAAGGATCAACGGTCGTCAAGGTCTAGGTTGACGATTGTGGGTCTAGATGCTAAGGGTCTAGGTTCACGCGTCTACGGGTCGCATGATCATCAGCATTGCCTGGCCTGGCCTCTTCGACAGTTCGATCGTCGCCGGCGATGGGTTGCTTCAGCTGTCTTTCGGTTCGATTTTTCTGTAACTTACAATGAGCCAATTACAGAAGATGTAGGGCCGTTTGGTTCAACTTTGTAAATGAGACTTGAAGGAATGCAAATACCTTCAAGTTAAAGCCCCTTGGGGAAATGCAAATGGCGTTTGGTAAAAAATCCTTTATGAAACTACTTTGACCTAAGTAGTATTTGGCAAATTTTTTTTTGCAATGTGCTTTGGGAATTTTCTTTTTTATTAAAAAAAAAACTTACCCTATCCTTCGCCGGAGCCGGCAAAGGCCTACGGTAGTAGGCAAGCTAGATCTGGCGCCAGTGGCCATCGTCCGAGGTATGGCGACCCTCGGTGAGCCAGATCTGGCGCCGGCGACTGTCGCTCGAGGCCGGGCGACCCCCGGTGAGCCAGATCTGCCGTCGCCTGAGGCCGGGCGACCCTTGGCGAGGGTTGCGCGATCTCAGGAGGGCTATTGCTCGGGCCGCTCGACTCAGGCGCCGGCGCCTGGGTCGCTCGACCTCAGGCGTCGCTGGCCTGGGTGGTCGCGCGACGCAGACCAGCAGCACCTAGGTGGTCGCGCAACCTCAGGCGACCGTCACCTGGGTCCTGCGATCTCACCGGCCAGATCGGGTGTCGGTCGCCGTCGCGCAAAAGATGAACAGTAATAAGAGGGGCAAATTCGGAATAAGCCAGAATAAGTGAGGATAGTTTGGGGGCAAAAAAGTTGGTTTCAACATTTGCCAAATGCTGGCTTTCGACCGAAAGCCCATTGGGAATGCTTGCCAAACGGTTCAGCATTTCCCCTAGTGGCTTTCGGCCTTGAAAGCTTCTTTCCAAAACTAAACCAAACACCCCTGTAGTGATTTTTCTGGAATATTCTCGAAAAGTCCGATCACCAAATTATGGACACTCCGTACAAAAAAAAAAAAACAATCACGGAAACTCGCACGTGCATCACGAGGGCAAATACCAAAAAAAAAAAAGACACACGGCCCGTTGTTTCTCCACGTGGTGCGTGTTTCCATTCGCCACGTCATCGCTGTTTCCCAAGCCCCCACCAAAAGAAAATGAAAATCCTCACTTTCTCACCTACCGGTTTCTACTCTGTTCACCATCTCTTTGCCGGAGCTCCTCCGCCACTTCGGGCCCGCGATGTCGACGATCCTGCGGAAGATCGTCGAACTGGCGTCCAATCGGCCGTCCTCCCCCGCCGCCGCCGGCGGCAGCGGCGGCGCGGCCCGGTCGTCCCTGGGGGCCTTCGAGAGGCTCCCGGAGGACGTGCTGGTGCAGATTCTGCGGCTGCTGGGGCCCAAGGACGCGATGAAGACGAGCCTGGTGTGCAGGTCGTGGAAGTCCCTCGTGTCCGACGACCGCCTCTGGATCTCGTTCCTCCAGAACCAGGACCAGAACCTGCCCTGGGAATCGATTTTCTTCGCCGAGACCCATTTGCGGTTCGGCTGCCCGATTCAGTGAGTTTCTTCCTTCTTCGAAATTTGGCGCAGTAAGCGCAGATGCGAGTAGATTATCGGTTCGAATGATATGATCACGATCGCCGATTTGTGGTTCATACTGTACTTTTGAAGAGTCCTTTGAAGTCGATTTAGTCGATGATTTGTGGAACTAGATTAATGAGTAATTGCTTAATGGAGGCGAAAGCATTGCAGGACGGTCTCGAATGAGGTGCCTGAGCTATCGTTTATGAGTATATACAGCCGGCGTGCGCAGGTACCCGGTGCCGTCATAATTGATGGTAAGCCTCTGCTTCTCAAAGGTGATTCGGTACCAATTAGAGCCGCGCGATAGAGAAGAAATGCGTGGATACCTATTACTATCTTCGTCATAGGACATTGTCTGTCATCTTGCCGTACTTTTTTTTTATTTTTTATGATTTCATGTATCTTGATCATAGTGTTCTGGTTGCCTCGTTTATTGTCTTGAGCTAGGTGGTTCTGGATATTGCAAATATGGTTGGAGCAAATATGATTGTCCATCTGGCAGGTCAGCAACCTTCCTGGTAAGGATTAGAGAATTCACATTCTCTCGATTGTAGCAAGGCGCATGGAGTCTGGGAACACCACGAAACGTGTCTTCTTTTATGTGAAGCCCCGGTACCAGAAGTTGCATCTATTTGAATGTTGTCGGATAATGTGTAGGAATTTGGCAATATCGAATCTCCAATGCATGCCAGACTTCGGCATTTTTTTGCGACGATCTATAGCAGGTTCTTCTCTATCCTCTAATTTAACTTTGGGAATTCAAGTAATCCGCAGTGATCGGATTAATTGAAATTTTAATTCTACCAAGAAATTTAACGTTTTCTTTTTCCAGAAATTATTTAAACTTTAGATTTTGATATTTCCTCTTAATCTTGAACTTCTACATATGAAGATGTCGATTCCGGTATATTTCAGGATGCAGGTGAGGCCATCAACACAGCCAATCGTCGTGTCCATTCCAATCTGCCACTATGATGGTGAGTAAGCTGCTTGCATACCGTGTAATGTGGAAGTAGTGTTGAATCTAGATCTTGATGCTTCCTAGTCAGAGCCTTAACATATGGCAAATTGCATGTGCAGCGATAGAGACTGTATCATAATTTATTGTTTCTACACTGTATAATGCAGTCTGTATCCTTCATTACCCAAAAAGGGAATCTTATAATATCTTTAGAGACTAGACCTTTTCTTTTTCTTGTTTAGATACCGAATCTGCAAAAGCATCAAGACGGCAGCTCAAAGAGGCCATCTACTTTACTTTATTTGAGATGAATGTTCCTGCTGTCTGTGCCATTGATCAGGTTAAATTTCCTTTCCTTTCCTATTCTCTTGGTTGTTTGAATATCAGAGTGAGGATAAAGAGAATTGTTATCCTGGATTGCATGTTAGTCTTATTCATGATGCCTTGGTCACCAACCAGCAAGCTAGGTCTGCTCTGAAGAATCAGTTTGTGAGTCTGCCAACAAATGTGGAAATGCATACTCGTCAAATATAAATCAATTACTTGGTCACAAAAAAAAAGGGGCACTTTTATTTCTATTGTATCACAATTTAGATTTCTTGATGCATATTCACCCTAGTTGGATGCTTTCTTTCTCTTTGTGAAAAGTGCGTTTGTGCTCTTGACTTATTGAGAATTGACAGACCTTAATGTACCTCTTGCAAGGAACTTCCTTCTCTTTTTCAGCTCAAATTGGTTACTTTTTTACTTTGAGCATAATTATATCAAAACTCTTCATGCTTCTTCCTTGACTGCAGGCAACTTTGTCACTCTATGCAGCGAGGCGAACTTCAGGAATTTCTGTCAATATCGGTTTCCAGGCGACCTCCATTGTTCCAAGTAATTGTTTCTTCATTTCTATTTATGAGTGACGCAGCCTTAGTTTCTGGTGGGAGTGAGATGCCAGTCGGGCCTCCTGCCTCATTTAGTTTTTTGACTTCTTCTCAGGAAGTGTTTCATGGACCTAAATCTGTTACTTCATCAAACCCATAGAAATCCATTTGATGGTTGGAATTTGGTAGTTTCGGATCACCTGTTGATGAACTTATGCTTAACTCAGTTATTGATTTTGGTTCTCCTTGCGAAACATTCTCTTGTTTGTTTGACATGAACTCCTTTTGTTATAGAAAACTTTGTCGATATGTATTAAATTTTCAGTAAAAGAGGACACAAATGTTTCGTTACTTTAATATGTAAAGAACGCTACAAAACATGTTACATAGGATGTGTCATCATAATCTGGACGTCCCTAACAGTTTTGATCTCATGCTACTAACTAAATTTCTAGTGCTTTCTGATATTAAGGGTTAAAAGATGAGATAGAGTTTGGGCCTTTTATTTTTGTTGGGGAGAGAGGGTGGATATTTAACATAGTAGATTCATAAAAATATAATGGGATGGTGAACCTGTGGAATATCCAAATGCAAAATTGCTGCTTCCTCGTTTTTGTCTGTTTTCTAATTCTGTGAGAGTTGAAACTTACTAGTATACCCCGATTTTCTTTTTCTCTCCCCAAGTTTTGCATGGTAAAGTGATGCGCAAGGTGGGTGTGGAAGTCACGGGACTTGGAGCTTTAAAACTGACAGGATTCCTCCGGGAGCTGATGCAGCAGAAGAATTTGAGTTTTGCGTCGTTGTATACAGTTCGTACATTGAAGGAGGTAATGTTTTCTTCCTTGATAATTGAGCACGATTCTCTTGTATCATGTATTCCAGAGTGCGTTGGCTGCTTTCAAAATCTCTCTGTCATTTAAACATGCTGCAAAAATGTTGACGATTCATCAGCTGACTCCCCCTGACAATGTTTGCCCGTGCAAGAGTAGTGCCTGGAACGATGGAATTTCTAATAAAGTCTGACCAGGTCCTGTCCTTTAAGAACATCCTTGGTTAACAAGACTAGAAAAGGGACTTGAGGTCCCAAATGCTGATGCTTTTCTTCTGCATTTGCAACTTTCTGCGAATCAACTCGATCCTCTTTATGTGCGGAACATTTGAGTAAAATTGTATGCCTAAAATTTGTTTCCTCGTCTGGGTCCACATAAAATTTGAGCCAGATATTGGCCAATCTACCATGAATTCAAGCTGTACAATGTCTAAACTATTCAATTGGCTTCTTCAAGCTCATCTTTTACACTTGCGTAGCATCACCATCTGATGTCTGCTGTTGTTTTTATGTTGGACAAAATGGAAATGCAGAGGCTATGTTATGTTGCGGCTGATTATGAAGTTGAGTTACGCAAGAACACAGAAGCATCTTTTGAAGTTTCAGGGGAAGGGTCATTTACTCTTTCAGAAGAACGCTTTCAGACAGGAGAGATCCTATTTCAGCCTCGCATGGCAGGAGTGTAAGATCATCTCTTCCATTTGCCATCAATATTTTGATGTTTGAGGAGCTTAGTGCTTTAAGTCTTGAATAGATTTTCTCAGATAAATGTCCACTGCCTTGAGAAAAGCAGATTCTTCATCTGCCTTATTTGTCTCCGGCCTCTCTCTCTCTCTCTCTGCATTTTGTAAAACGACACTGCGCAGCCTTCTAAATTTCGGACTTTGTTAGATGACAAATACAATTGTTAAAGTGATTTCCCATGCTTTGCACAGACGAACCATGAGTTTGCACCAGGCAGTAGCACTTTGCATGGACCATTGCCATGCTGCAGAGCTAAATGCTGATGACACATGGTTCAAGACTGTTGTCTTGTCTGGAGGAACAGCATGTTTACCTGGGCTAGCAGGTATATGCCCTTTGCTCATGTATCAGCATTCTTGTTAGAAAATGCTATGCGATGAGCAATTTTTTATATGCTTCAATAATCATACTACGAGAGTACTTGTGAATCATCGTTCAGGTCCCAAAATTTGACGAGATAATCTTTGACATGCATGTGAAAATTCTTATTCAGAGAGGTTGGAGAAAGAATTGCATGGACTTCTTCCCCCTTCCATTTCAAGTGGGATCAGGGTCGTAACACCACCTTATGGTGCAGATACTGCTTGGTTTGGGGCAAAGCTAATCAGCAATGTAAGGCTTCTTCACTTTCGAAATGTTAGCAAACTTGCATGTCAATAGTCTGTGAACAAATGCTGAATATGCGGTTCTGCAAGACTTTCCTTTGCCATTTAAGGTCTACTCTTAAGTGTGTATATGCTGCTTGCATACATATTTAAGGTCTAATTTTCGACAAGCCAAAAAAAGTGGGGGGGGGGGGGGGGGGTTGGGTAGGAAGACTCCTCTTCAGGCTTTTGGTGAATTCTGACTTTTCTAGATGTTGCCTTGTTTTCTGGCGTAACACAGTTGAGCACATTCCCTGGGCCCTGGTGCTTGACAAAGAAGCAGTTTCGACATAAGTCTAGATTCAACCTCTTATGGTGAAATGCCCAGTTGCTTTGATCTGTTAAGGCTTGGTGTCTATCTGGGTAGCAGTTGAACCCTTGAGCAAGTTGACCGGATGGAGAAAATAAGCGTCTTGTTCTTCTCCGACGATGAAGATTCAAGTCTTGAAGCTAAGATAGGTGAATACATGATTAATTGCTGTCGCAATTCGGCATTCTTTTCCTGTATGACTTGTCCATGATGTCCAGGATCTTGCTAAATAATCCTCGCATGTGGATTCCTCTATTGCTATAATCCTGTGTGTGTGTAGAGTACGACATGCGTTCGTGATGTAACTATATTATAAGTGCCAACGATAGCGTAATGTAATAATTGCTCAGAATAACGAAGTGAATCTTCCCCATCTCTCTTCAAAAGTTCTCTGTCAGATGTCTCTTGGAAACGTTCCAAATTGTCGCAGGGGCATAGACTTTTCGGCTCGCTTGCAAATTGCATGGTTCTCCTGCTATGCACGACAGTTTGGATCAACTGTCCAATCCAGCGAGATGTGACCGGAATTATTCTCAAAAGAAGTACCTCTCTCTCTCTCTCTCTTTCTCAGTGTGTGTGCGCACGCGCAAGTTCGGCTCAATCACTCTATACTCGAGCCATTAATGGGAGGAACTCGGCCAGGGAAAATAAAGAAGGTTGCATACCAGACTCTTGAACTACAACCATCCAAAATGATTTCCTTCCTCGCAAGAATTGATCGTATGAGAGCTATGGCATATCAACGGCAGGACGTTCAAGAACCTGCGTACCAGAAAATTGATAGATGGAGGCCGACAAGGCTGGTGGCTGTATTCCTCGAATTTGCAGAAGGAGAATAATCACAGTGGAAAGTTTAGTCTTGTCCCACAGAAACTGGAAGATACGGATGACGACAAAGCCGGATGAACGTACTAACAGAAGAGGTGCACTGCGTTCGATTTGAGCCTCGCTGTCAATGGCAAAGGTTGATGGTGGTCGTGCCGGGCACTTGGGAAAAAGAACAAAAATTGCATGCCAGAGCCTTAAGACGACAACCATCCGAAGATTTCGTTCCACAAGTTGCAAGTTGATAATTCAAGAACCATGGCATATTGGTATACAGATAAGTTAGTAAACATAATCACAAACTGACTCAATAAAGGTCCAACAACAGTTATGTGGAAACCTAGCACAGATCAGGGGCAGGACATTCAAGAACAGGCTTACCATAACATGACAGACAAAAAAGATGCAGAGGCCAGCAATCATATATTACTCGATGCCGTTAAAAAAAAAGAATACAATAATTGCAGTGAAGAGAGTTCATAGTCTTGGTCCAAACGGAACCTGGAACAAGAGGATGATGAAGCCAACTGAAAGAACTAATAGAAGGGGCGCATGGAATGTGATTTGAGCCCCGCTATTGTCATTGGCTACGGACGACGGTGGTGATGCCGGGCGCTCGAGCCCTGGCTTTCCTTCTCCACATTTGGCAGCAAAAACGCCGGGCGGGTACTTCCCGTGGAGGTTAATGTAACTAAACATGGTCGAGGCGCAGTCATTTGTTAGGTCGTTTACGACATCAGCATAAGGGCACGCAAACTTCTTGAACGCAACAGACCTGGGGAGGGCAAGTAGGTCCTTTACATTTGCTCGTGATGATCGTGTAATTCAGGAACTGAAAATTCAGTGGACAACCTGCAAAGTTCATTGCAGAAATTTGAGATTCTAAATGCTCTAGAATTGGATATGCAACACAAAAATCACCTAAAAGCAACGTGCAGGTTGAGCGAGTCGGTGCAAAGATGAGGCTGGGGCATTATTGGCCCATATCTTTTATTACGGACGATTGCTAAAGATTTTCTTTTTGTTTTTTAGTTAGCATAATATTTAGTATATTTTTTATAATTAATCAAAGATATTTGCTAGATCTTTTCTTTCCCTCTTTTGTTAAGCAGAATTTTGTATAAATATTTGTACCATACGTAGAGCAATACAAACAAATTATGAATTATCACATGATATCAGAGTCATAGAGCTTAAAAACACCAAACAATTCAACGTGCATCTTTTGCGATATAGCTCCGGAAGCGTCTACCAATAAGGTTATTAACCCTTCCTCACCATATTATCTTAATACATTCGACAAAGTTGGAAGCGTACTTGTTTCATGCGTATGACCCGGAATAACTATGCAACATGGTCGAAGGCGACGAGACGCGCATCACGTGCAAAAAATAAACTCGGGTCTATTGATGGATTGCTAGAGAAGCCAGATCCAGTAGCACCCGAATTTAATGCCTGACCTTGACCGCAGTTTATAGGGAAGCGTGGTATATGCAGAAGAATCAAATGTAATATGCGATGAGTTGAAGGAGAGATTCTCTCAAGGTAATAGATTTTGCATCCACGAGATCAAAATTGAGATTGGGCTTCTACAGCAAGGAGAAGTCTTGGTGGTGGAATACAGTGACATCCTCAAATTTTGACCCTATTCGGGATATAATGAAGTGATTAAGTACGCACGACTTGAGAACTCGACCATGAATTGACAATTCGACCATAAGGATTGACAAGGGACAATTTTCAGCCATTATATACGATCAAGGAACGGTTATAGAATATTTCGCCAATAGTATACAATCTGATCGCGGGTGATTCTGCCTGACCATTGTATGAATTGCGAACGATCCGAAACGAATCCCTATTGATCGTGTACTTCGGAACTAGCGATTTACCCCTCGCAATTACATGACAACCGAGATCATCCATGGCTCGAGAAAGCTTAAACGTGGATTGATATCAAGTCAATCACGGGTCGAATACGCGTAACTCCTAAAAGCAGCCTGTTAGTTTGAGATATACTAAAGTCGCAATCGATCGATTTTGACCATGAATTAGAATCCGAATTTGGGTATCGAACCTTCGAGGATTTCAAGATGAAACTATTGGACGTTGCTTTGTTAATCCTTTGATTTATCGGTTTACTCAAAATATTCAGAAAAAGGAGTTAATAGGCCGAGATTTGGAGCCCACGAGGAAGTGGGCCGGGCAAAGGCCCATTGGGCCTCACGCCCAATGTGGACTTTGGCACTTGGGCCCAAGCAAGTCCAAGTGGGCCCATTAAGCCACTAAGCCCAATCTAAGCCCACTTAGCCAATTTTAAGCCTAATAACATTTTCAAGCCCAATCTTAATCATTTTGAGCCTAAACTTGATTTATACGAGCCTGTACAAAATTCTAGCTCGTATATGCGTATAGTATTTTATATTATACTTTGTGAAATTACCATTTTGCCCTTCTAGCATTAATTGAGAAGTGACAAAGGGGGAGCTAAAGTCTTGACATTTATGAGAAAAAATGATGAGCTTGGACTTGAAATTGGCTTGAAAGACAAGCCTATCTAGAAGAGAAATATCTCTAATTTCTCTTACTCATTCTCTCCCCCTCCCTCTCGGCCTCACCGTTTCCAGCCACCATCAGCCACTATCTCAGCCCCTTTGGCTGTTGTTTCGCAGGCCAGAACCACCAGCAGCAACGCTGTGACTGCCCGAAGCAGTACGCCGCCTGTCCAAGTCGTTTCCACCGCCGGACCGCCTCACCGTGAGCCAAACCAGCCCTCACCGGAGCTGTTGGCTACTGTCTAGCCACTGTTCAGCCGTCTATATATAGTAATCTCGTGTTATTTTCGGACCAAGCCACGCGTAGCCCTCGCCGCCGCCGTCATGTTCCTGTTATCGGAATCGCTAACGGGTGAGTTTTCACCCTAATCCCTCGATTAGTATGTTAAACTTGATTAGGATGAGTTTAGATTAAGTTAATTATGTTTAGTGCTAATTAATTAGGGATTAGTTGATAACTATCGCGATAAGTGATAATCGGTAGTGATAAGTTATCGCGATAAGTGATAAGTGGACTCGATAAGTTATCGAGAAAATGTGATAAGCTATCGTCATTTATGTGACAAGCTATCGAAAAAAGGTGATAAGCTATCGTCAAAGGGATGATAAGCTATCGATTTTTAAGTGTTAAGCTATTGCCAATTAGGTGATAAGCTATCACTATTTAGTTGATAAGTTATCACAATTAGGGTGATAAGTGCTTTTTATATGATTATTTTATAATTAAATTAAATGTTGTATTACGCCCGTTTCATGCCGTATAATGCCTGTTTTGCCCCGAGAAATATTTACCCTATGTGAAACCTCGTTAATTTTTTTTAAAGGGTTTTTATGGACATATAAATAGTAAACCCCAAGGTGTCGGGTTTATTTGTCAATTTTTATAAATTAAATAGGGCGATGATGTTTAAATATGGGAGCATACAAAGTTTGGCAGTTTAATTATGTGTACGTCGTCAAGTGTGACTTAATTACCGCATTTTTTGGCATGAAAATTGCAATATTTTGATGTGGTTAAATGAGGAGAAATGAAATTGGCTTGAGTAATTGCTATGTGTGCATGATCATCTAAAAGTTCCGTCTGTGCTCGGTTATACCAGAAGATCGCCAACCTAGGGTTTGGCCGTGGCCGTGACAGGTCGTGCCCAATTTGGTAATTGGATGCCATCGCAGGGGGCAGGGTGAGACAAAGTCGTTCGCGAATTAGATTTGGAACGAACCCCTTTTATGGGATGTCGTCATTGATGTTGGTGAGACGATGCCATGTCCAACGGGGAGGGACGATGCTCGATTATGTCGGAAGACCACCAACCTGATGCAAATATTGCGGGTTGTGCTGTACCCTGAGTGGCCGTAGTAATCGGAATACGCGTGATAGAGTATGATAGCATTGCGCTTGATTATGAGATGAAATTGTGAGGCACGGTATGGGACGGGCCAAAGCGGTTTCACCTTATAATCGAGACTCGTGTGGATGTATTATGCATGGGAAAGCTGCTGCGTATTCTGATTGCATTATACGCTTGTTGCTTTATGATTGTACATAGAGGTTTATAACGTGCAGGGCGTGTGCCAAGATAAGGTTACCTACTATTGTGTGATGACATATTTGTGTGCGCCGGACTGAGCTGCATGTTTTAGGTGCATCCGAGATGAGTTGACTTCTTAATTGAGACTTGGGTCGTTAACTTGCTAAGTTTATCTCATTGTGGTTTGTTAACTGTTTTTCAGACCCTCAACCATGAACCATCCTCCTATGCGTTTTGGCGTGCCCATGGATATGAGCATGATAGTAGTAGCATTCCCGGTGGGATCGGGTAGGGTTTATGAGAAGCAGCGACCATCGTCTGGGTGGATGAGGGTTTGGCAATGTGGCAGCCACACGAGTTTGTAGCGTGGTACCTTAGGGACAGAGATGGGTTGTTCGAACCCATTAGGGGTTTTGATGGACCACCTAACGGAGGTGTTGGGAATGAGGTTTGGGATCCCATGGATCTCGACCCCCC